CAGTAAAGTACGAAGCCCTGTGATTACAAGCTTTCAGTGAGGAAGTGAGGACACCCAGGTGAAAACTCACTACATCACGCAGCCAGTACATGAGAGCTGAAAAGCACATCTCCTCTCCCCGGCTCAGGAGTGTAGGCAGGAGGATTTCAGCTGGATGTTGCGTCATCCGCGCAGCTGCTTTAAGACTGAGCATCTTGCAAGCTGAGACATATACACCTTCTCGCAGAACAAGATTTCTGCTAGTACTTAGGGTTTGGACATTGTGGTGGGTTTTCATTTCCTTTGCAGTCTTAAAGTAAAAATTTTAATTTCTGACAGACAAGAATAGTGCCCTTTTTTCAGCTCCTTATGTAGACTAACTCCATTTGAGATAATCTCAAGCCAAAGATGTTACTGTCATTGAAGTTGGTTAACACGTTGATTGAGATTCATTACCCCATTTCAAAATAGGAATTTAACGTAACAAACTTTGGGAACACATCACTGGAAGTGAAGCTCTGCAGTAGGAGCTGAGCTCATTGAAACAGGCTAGCATCTGTTATTGTTAAGCTACCCTGCTGCTGATTCAGTTATTGAGCTCGAGGCAGATCTGAGTATCTGTATATTCCTGTGGTTTCCAACCTCAGGCACAGCTCCCACACACCCTACATTGTCTGTTGCTCTGTTGAGAAGGCTGCATGGAAACGTGAGAGAGCTGTGAAGGGACTCACCCACAGCCTTTCAGATCACACACATCACTCCTCCATGACTGCTCACTGTGCACTAGCCTCCCTGTGTAGGAGGCACTGCAGTTCTGTCGTGTCTCTCAAGGGGCTTGGGCTAGAATGAGAATCACACCTCAGTGACGTGTTCAGCTCTGCCCCAGCAGACCTAGCTGGTCTCCATGGTGGCAGGCATGAATCTTTGCACAGTGCTTCTCATCTTTCACCATGCTCCTTTGTTGCCTTCATCAAGAATAATTCTCAGGGCTGGAGAGATGGCTCAGTGTTTAAGGACACTTGTTCCAACAGGATAAACATTGGAAGTAGGAGACAAGGAATGGGACAGGAACCTTCCACAGAGGGCCTCTGAAAGACTCTACCCACCAGGGTATTGAAGCAGATGCTGAGATTCACAGCCAAACTTTGGGCAGAGTTCAGGGAATCTTATGGAAAAAGGGGGAGATAGAAAGACCTGGAGGGGACAGGAGCTAAACAAGGAGACCAACAGAGCCAAAAAACCTGGTCCCAGGGCCCCTGCAGAGACTGAGGAATCAAACAAGGACCATGCATGAAGAGAACCTAGACCCTTGTTCAGAGGAAGCCCATAGGCTGCTCAATCTCCAAGTAGGATTCCCAGTAAGGGGAACAGGGGCTGTCTCTGACATGAACTCAGTGGCTGCCTCTTTGATCACCTCCTCCTGGGTGGGGAGCAGCCTTCCCAGGCCACAGAAGAAGGTGATGCAGCTATTCCTCATGAGACCTGATAGGCTAGGGTCAGATAGAAGGGGAGGAGGTCGTCCCCTATCAATGAACTAGGGGAGGGACATAGGGGAGAGGAAGGAGGGTGCGTGGGACTGGGAGGAGATGAGGGAGGGGACTACGGCTGGAATACAAAGTAACAAATTGTAATAAATAATAAATAAATTAAATTTAAAAAAAAAGAACATTTGTTGCTCCTCCAGAAGAGCAGAGTTACATCTGCATTGAAGTTGTATATGGTATGGGGTCATGGTGCTTTAGCATCTCTGTCTTAGTATCCTGGTGGGGAGGTCATGGCAGCAGGATGTTGAGAATTCACAGCTACAGTCAAGAAGCAATCCTGCATCTGTGCTCAGCTCATTTTCTCCTTTTTCTGCAGCTGAGACCCCTGCAGGCCAGGGAATGCTGCTGCCTACTTTTAGGCTCATGGTAATCCCTACCAGGCAGAAGGTGACCTGATCCCTGATCGTGTGATTTCCCAGTGGTGTCCCCAGAAGCTTGTCTTCTGTCACACTCATGTTCTTTGGGGGATGCCATCCATGCCCCCATCCACTAGTTTCCCTCCTACCCACCCTCTACCCACATCCTTGCTGCCTTTGACAGACTTTCCAGTGTGATCATTCCTCAGAGTTTATCCGTGGGTCCCTTCGTGTGTGCTTTCGTGTTTCTTCCTGGGGCTTAACCAGTGAGAGCTTTCACGTGATCCCTGTGGACCACTGCCCTCTCCACCCCATACCCTTTCTGTGCATTGAGGTTTCCTGTGAGATCTCAGAGAGAGGGGGAGGAGAGGAGGGACACACAGGACAGCAAATCCAAGACAGGTGACTCTGGATGGGTGACACCCAAATCAACACCTGCCGTCGCTCGCCTCAGAGCCCAGCTTGGCCTTTCTTTTGCATATTGGACTACAGGTGCCATGAGCTTGACAGAAGTTACTGTCTTTGTCCTGTCAAACTGGTTCCATGCAACAGAAACCCCCCTACTTCTGTTCATAGCTTTACTGTTGCCTGAGACTGTAGTCCATCACAAAAAGACAGGGAGGTGCTTTTGTCTTTCCACTTCATTGCTCAAAGTCATCAGTCTCTACATCCACTGACTTTTTAGGATGTACTTCTCCCACTCATCCCTTTGCTTCTGTCACGTAGCTTCCACAGGATTCAGGTTCCTTATTGTTCTCTAACCTCTGAAAAGACTGTGGACTCTTAGCCCAAAAATACACTTCAGAATGTAAGCCATATTTCAATTTTCTGGAATGCCGGCCGCCACCCTGGGCCTTCACAAAGGCCCGCAGTGTTTCTCCTTTCCTGCTTCAGCTGGATTGAGTGAGCACACAGTCCAGCCTTAGTAACAGCAGTTACACTTGATCTAGTGCTTCAGAGCGGGATGGGCAAGCACAACCCTGAGCACATCCACGTCATCTGGAGTTGTACAGACAGCGCTGTGAGTGAGATGCTGTGATGGCCCCTGTCTTCTAGAAGGAGAACAGAGACTAATCTCTTTGCTCAAAGTCAGACAGCTGGTGGCGAGTGCAGAGCACCAGGTCCTGTGACAATGGCAGAAGTTTGGACACATCAGAACCAATCCATGCCTCATTAGACTGTTCTATTACTGTATTCACTTTGCTCATTGCAACGATGCATCATAATAAAGATAGTTCATAAAGTTTATATAGGCACATTTTTCTCATGCTTACCCCTGACAGCATACATTATGCCTAACAGATGAGGAGATGGCTGCTGACGGGCTGACAGGCTGACCTAAAGTAAATCTTAGCTACAAATTTTGACTGACCATTTAATTACCTTAAGCACGATAGCCAAGCTCTCCTTCTGTTTCCTTCCCTATAACACCAACACAGTAATCTACTGGTAAAATTTAAAAGTTAAATGCTATAACAAAATCAGTGGCTTAGAACAGTTTCCAGAGAAAGTAAATCCTAAATAAGTAGTTGGTGCCTGCCCCCAGGGACTATGTGTTGACTCCATATTAAGAGTCTAATGTCTGCAAAGCACCTGGCCCTGGGTTTTGTACAGGCATCACTTAACCTACATTGTTAGTTTGTGGGAGAGAACATTTAGACGCAGGTTAGGAAACTTACCTTAGATCACATAGTTGCTCTATGTACAGGTGCAGAACTTGAATGTTGCCTAGGTGGCTCTGCCTCCCAGCTTTCTCATAGAGATGCTGTCAAGGTTGTTCATCCTCTGCAGGTTTCAAAGTCTTAGCTTGCTAGACTGATTGTTTCAAAGTATTATTCAACTTTCCAATTACATTCACCCTTCTTCCTGTGCCAGGAATATATTCCAGTAGGTCAGAATTAGAAGACCTAAGCGGAAGGTCAGGTATGCGTGGTGCATACCCATGATTCAGCACTTGAAAGGCTAAAGTAGAAGGATCATGAGTTCGAGGCCAGCCGGGCCTCTTCGTGAGACCCTGTTGCAAGGAAGGAGGAAAGGGAGGGAGGGAGAAGTGGGCCCAGTGAAACGATGTCTCTTACATGTCCTGATCACGGAGTGCATAAAGGAATAAATGCTTTCATTGTTCTACAAGGGTCAAACTAAAGCTTCAGAGTAGTTTTGGATAATGGTTAAATTTCCTTGTTTGTGATCTGGTGTTTACAGCATGAAGCATCTAGATAGCATACAATACTGAAGATCTACTCACGATTGCAATCACAGCATTTACGAGGAGCACATGTACTTTCTTACAGATTTGAGGGGCTTCTCTGGCTTTCAGTCTTGGAGTTAAGAATGGCTGCTTTGCTGCTATCCGGGGACCCCGTGTATTCTGGCTTTCTCTCTTTTCACAAGTCCTTGAGCATTTATTCATTCACTCAGGCTAGAGATCCAGGGCAGATGCTCAGGGCCTTTCCCGTGGGGACTGTTTTCTCATGAGAGGAGACAGCCATAAACAAGGAAACAAAGTCGCCAGATAGCTTTAGCTCTGGGCAGGGCTCTTCTCCCATGCTGAGGGTCCTGGGAAGTGGTCATCTGTGCCAAGTGGACAGTAAGAGCAGGATAGGATATGTTTGACCACGCACACACGTTCCCAAATGTGCATGTGCATACGCTGCCCTGCCGCATGCTGGACGAAGTGTGTGACTTTTACTCTGTTATGTAGCTGCTGCAGCTCAAAGAGACCGTCACAAGGGCGCCCTTCCTGTGGCAGGCGTAGTGCAGGGTCCGGCCACTCGCATAGGTGCTGTGGGGGCGGGGCGTTGCTCACCCTCCTTTCTACTTCCTGGGAGGAAACGGAGACCAGAATCCAAGCAGTAACAGTTTCTCTAGCTACCTGTAAAGGAGCAGCTACTCATGAGTGCAGTTGGTACCTGTGGAAAGCGCAAAGCAAGAAGACCGTGGGGCAAAGGATGGAAGCCTTCTCTTCAGCCTTGTAGAAACCCCCGCAGTCCTGCAGGTGACCTCACCCTCGGTGCTCTGCGCAGGTGCCTAGGACATGACACTAGCAGCAAGTGTGAAGTGACATTTTGGGTGGCAGTTGTAATCCGCTCTTAACCCTCAGACTTTCCTGTGTTCCTTCCAGGCTGTGGAAGCTCAGATCCGAAGTTTTGGACAAACGCCTTCTCAGCTGCTGACAGAGCCGCACCCTCCTCGAGGCTCAGCCATGCAGGCGGTGAGTGCTGGTCCACACTCTTCTCTGCACTCCTCTCCAGTTCACTCTCGCTTCCCACACCAGTCTTTCACCACACATGAGGGTCTCTACCTGGTCCTCCCGTACAGTGCAGCCTGCTCACAAGCAGCAAACACTAGCACGTTCTCCGTGCAGCCTTGAGAAGGTAACCTCAGCTCTGGTACTTGGATTTCATCAATCATGGTCTTGTTGCAAGGTTCAAAGGGCCACAGTTGTCTTTTTTTTCTGACTGGATCCCATGAGTATCTGGATTTGTTTTGTTACTGTGTCCATTCTTAGCATCCCTTCATGTTTTCTAGTTTCAGCGTTTGAAATTGTCCTGATGCAGGTTAACTAAGGGTCAGGCCTGGAGGGGAAGGAATGGGTGCTTGCTTGTTCGGCATTCACAGACCTGGCTTGATTGTTTCTGACTGTTGAACAGTACTCTTACACGCTTTTTATATACTTCGCTAAGTGGCCACTGGGAGTGGTCTGAGACGGGCAGCGCCTCCCTGTGTGTAGACTTTCATCTATTTCGTGTTTAATATACAGTGGGTAACCCCTTGGTAGGTCAGTGTCCAAAGACAGAGCTGGTAAGGCTTCTTGATCCCTGCTCTGAACTCATACATCACAGATGCCAAACTGCACTGGCCAAAACCTGTCAAAGCCAGCCTAAAACAGGACGGTTCTGCCTCTGGTTCTGAACTGTCTTCATGTGTGTTTGTGTGGGGGGTGAGAAAGCAGCAGATTTTCATGATTAAAATATCTTCAAAAACTGATTATATTTTTCTTGCATGTGCCTTACAAAATTTGCTCATTACTGTTCTAGATTTAGAGTAGAGAGAATATAAAATCTGTAGGCGTTAACCTTATGAACAACTAATGATCAATCCAAATCCCACGCTGTGGCAATTTATGGTCAGTGCTGCAACAGACAGTGGAAGGACAGGTAGCAGCAGAGAGGGCCTGAGAAGACGGTGCCTGGCTGCCTGGCCTCTGCCCCTTTTCTCTCTCCTCCCTTTTTTCTGTGTCTTTTTCTTTCTTTGCTTTTAGCACCCTTTTCTTCCCTTTTTTTCTATAGTAATGTAAATTGGCCATAATAAACTAGTATCACCATTTCTGTAGTGTTTTAAACCAATGAGATCACATTTAAATGAACGTCAAGGGTGACTGCTGTGGGCAAGGGAAACACAAAGGACAAACATTTAGTAAGAACCCTGAAAGATAATGCATACACATGAAGAATAAAGCATGATTTACGCTCCGACATAGAAATTTGTCTTGGTGATCGCTGTGGAAGCGACCCAGGCTGTTGCGTGATGCTTGATAGAAGCCCTTCCGCCGCTCCACAGAGCTGTTCCTGGGTCACTGCACAGCCGGGCTCCTGGCCCAGTACTGTTTCTTCCTCGTGGCTCCTGGAGGTAGATCTGCAGAGTAGAGGCCATGATTGCCTTTGTCCCCTGAACTGCTTTTCAGACCTGAAAAAATTCCGTTTTTAATCTGCCACGTAAGTGAGCAGCAAAGAAAGGCACATTAGGAAGAAAGCACGGTTTTCAGAAAGCATTCCATTAACCTGGGGAGGCTGAATGAGACTTGGCTGGCTGTTTCCTACTTTTTTCTCAAATTGGCAGAAGCTCCCAGGGTGAGCTCTCTGTTCTCAGCTGATCTACAGCTGCTGCCATTGGCACGGCCCGGCAGGGCAGACCATGCGCCCCTCCCCAGCGTCCATCCGCCAGGCTGACTGGAGGAACACTTGGTTCTAAGGCAGCGGACACTTGGGCAAGTTCTGTCTGCTGCTCGCTGTGGAACGTGGCTTCTCCTCGCCATGTGCCCAGGACTTGGCCCTAAGAGCCCTGCGTAGACCAGTGAGCTCCGTTCTGTTGGGTTAGTTTTGGCGGTAGTGTGGTTTTGTTGTCGTTTTCGCGCTTCTTAAGGCTATAGCATTCAGATTACTCAATTTAAGCCTAATAATGTTTACAGTGTGAGCTGTATATCAGAAGAATGTAGGAACTTCTGTCAGGGAGACTTCATGATTGTGTAGTACTTTGGTTTTCTCCAAGTTTATACATTGGCCTTAGGATATATTTTTAAGCTATATAGTTGAAAACAAAGGCTTGTGATGCTGAAATGGTGTTTATTTCCTTTTCATTAGGTGTTTAAAGAGTTTGCTTATAGGACATTGTTATTTTTCTTTGTTTCTCATCTTCTAAATCTAATTTTATAACAACCATATAAGTAGATCTTTATATAAAAATACTGATATCAGTATTTTTTAGAATTAAGGGCCCACTTTCTCTTGATTGTTTTTACTGACATTCAGATGAGTTCCCAAGCAACTGCACCCCCCACATCCACATGTGAATATAGTGGAAATTAAAGCCACCTCGTGCTGCAGTAACGCGGGGGCCATAATACACGCCAGGTGCAGTAATTAGCAGGCCATGGAGGCTGCCGCGAGTCGGGTTTGCCGCGCCGCTATCCCCCTGTGCGTCACACCATCAGAGAGCTGGATTTAATTGAGGCCACATCGGATGACGCATTACTGACACCTTTAATTGAATGAGCATCCAGGGAGGGTTAACTCATAATATTGATTGGCTTTTAGCCACTTGCTCAGAAGGGTGTCTGGGTAGCTTATTAGTTGCCTTTATTTACACCTTTATGCAAGGAGTGCAAATCGGAAATCTTAGTGCAATATGTTTTTCTAAGTGCTCTTAATAACTTTTTTAAAAGGACTGATAATAAAAATGCAAATGTATTTAATTTTTTATTAGCAGTTCTGAATAAATGTGTTAAGTATATGTGCTTCCACATTCACATATACCTGGTGTTTTGAAATATGAAGGCAGGAAAGCAGCCAGGAGCATTTCATCAAAGTGTTTCAAGTCTGAATGATACTAATCAGCCATTAGAAAATAGGCCTGCAGGAGAGAACTGCAGAAAGTGCACGGTGCAGTTACCGTGTGGCAGCAGAGGACCACAAGGACAAATAAAGGCAGTAACGGAGAGTAGTGTCTTACATGTCCTAGGGTATGACATATGGCTGGTGGGGAGGATCCAAATCCTTAATTGTCTTCCAGATTTATTTTGTTGCTTTTTAGTGGAAGAGCATTTGCATAATATTTTCAGTTACTTTCCAACTTTCTTAGGACAGGTCAGAAATATCTTGAGCTTTAAAGGGTTTTTTTGTTACTGAAAAGGAAAAGGAGCATCAAGGCATTTCTTCTTATCCCCGTTCTTGGCTTGATGGGCTGTAGAAACACTGTGTTACACGCACACCTACATTGCTTTAAAGCAACTTGATAACTCATTTTATATATTACACGAATAAGTTCGCTACCGTAATAATAGATACATGCTCCCTTACTTTTAAAAATATATTTATTTTGATCATATCTTAGTTGTCAGGGTCTTCATGCCACTTACTTTTGATTATCTTTGGAAATGTCCTTAAGCTTGCTCTCATGCCATTTGCCTAGTCGTGTTCGTTTTCTTTTTTTATCACAATGAGAGGATCGCTGTGTGGCACAGCTGGATTAACACAGCCGGATGCTTTGAACCTAAAGCACACCATCTTTCAGTGTGGCGGGGTAGTAGGCAAGGAACGGAGCCAGTAAGATGTGCAGACTTTTACACTGTTTTGGTCAGTCACCCTCCTTCAGTCAGGAGTCACCGAGCTGGGATGTAGCACGGTAGTAGAGCACGCGGTCAGCACGCTGGAGGCCTGAGGGGGGATTCCGAGTGCTGAGGGGGAAAACGCTAATGCCATGTGCCGTGGGAAAGCAAGCAGTTGCGCAGAGCTGTGTGGACTTGCAGCCTGTTCTAACGTGCTCTTCCTCCTCTTCTCCCGTGCCCTCTCTCTCTTCCTGTGTCTTCTCCTACTTGGGTCTTGTCTGTCCACTCAACAGTATCTCCTCCTGCAGAGTCCATTGATGTTCACAGACCAGGCCCAGCAGGATGTCATCATGGTCCTAAAGTTCCCTTCAAACTCTCCCGTCACCCATGTTGCAGCCAACACCCAGCCGGGCTTAGCCATGCCTGCCGTCATCACTGTCACCGCCAACAGGCTCTTCGCTGTGAACAAATGGCACAGCCTTCCGGGTGAGTAAGAGAGCGGAACACATAGCACTGGTCTCAGTCAAATGCTGAATAGTTCAGAGGCTTAGAGACATCCCACCTGAGGCAGACGGTGGAAGTATTAAAGCAGAAGCAGTTTTTAGCATCTGCTGGTTTGTGTTTAATCCTTGGCAGTAGATACTGTTTTTAATGTAATCTTTTACTCCAGTGGCACTGTGTGTCGTGTCTGTAAGTGGCACAAATTATTGGGTGCCCCCTCCCAAATCCTTCATTCGGACTACATCTAATGAAAACCTTTGTTTCATCTAGTGTGCACCAGAAATTCTGCTTTTTTCCTGCTCTCTTGCAGGTCTGACGATTGACCGTAAGGTCTTCTATAGCCAACACTATTCCACCGTTACTCTCAGCCCCCAGCCTCCCCTCTTATGCACAGCGTGGTGGAGTCTGTTGCAGAGCATATAAATGCACAGCACAGTACTGCGTACCTGTTAGGACTATCTTCTGCTGAGTGCTAAATAGCTATATTTAATTGAAACAACCATTGGAATCTAAACCTCCAGGCTGCTATTAGCGTCTAGAAATACAGTAACCACTAGGCTTTCCGTCCAGGTTGGAAGAGGCACCAGCATTTACCTCCCACCCTTGTGTCTTCCCCAGTGAAGACCCTGAGCCTGCCTCCCCGTCACTGAGTGGTCAGTGGCAGTTGGCATTCAAGCGTTGACTGCACCTCAGTGAAGTCATTATTGCTTCTTTTGGAGCAGAAATATTGCTTTTTCCACTATAATATTTTAAAATAGCCTTTTCGGATGTATTTTGTGTGTGGGTTAGTGTTTACCTGCATGTGTGTCTTTACACCATGTGTGTCAGTGTCTGTGAAAGCAAAAAAATGGTGCCAGGTCCCCAGGGACTGGAATCCCAGATGGTTGTGAGAGGTCATGGGGCTCTGGGAGCAGAACCCGGGTCCTCTGGTAGTGCCCTTCACTACTGAACCATCTCTCCATAATTTTTTAAATAATATTAAGAAGTTGGGAAACTTTGCTTAAGTCCTAAGGATAATTGGCCTTTCCCAAAGGCTACTGATACAGGCACAAATGGTTCGGTCTGCTCGACATTTAATGTGTAAAGCCTATATAAGACTCCTGAACCGGCAGTGCTGGGATATTATTGAGTGAAGGCCTTCTCCAAATCACGTGGAAGAGATTTTTAGAGTGAAGCAAAAGACATTCCAACAAAAACCTGGTATGCTGACTAAAGTCAGTAAGAAATCTTTCAAAAAGAACCTATAATTGGCCATTTTCATGGCCAGTGGAACTGAAACACTGTGTGCAGCATTGCCAGTGTTTGATTAAAGCAGGTTTCTAAGACGTGACAGCAGGAAGACCGGGACAGCTCCGTAATGCCTCTGTCATTAGAGCTTTCCTTCCTGCTTCTTCAAGAGATGTGCATGTATTCGGGAGTGAGCATTTGAAGAAATGCGATTGTTCATTTCTCTGAGTCCTGCTCATGAGAAAAGTACACACCAAAGGTTCCTCCTCTGTGCATGGTCACAGGAGCGTCGCAGGTGTCCCAGTGTGTGTGACACCGGGACAGCCACAGGGATGCTTGTGGCGGGTGACTCTGTGTGGCTCCTCTGAGAGCTCAGTTCCGGCTGTGGCAGAGCCCAGCCCAGCCACTCTGTTGAGGAACTGAGAACACTTAGTTGTAAGACTTGCCACAAGCCTTGAGGACTGAGTCTTGACCTTTCCCTTTTGAACCAGCCAGGTCTCTCACTTGCTCCTCTTCATGCTTGGTAGGTAAGAGTTTCTTCCCCAGGTCCACTTTTGTCTGTAGGCAGAGGTTCAGTCGCTCAATGCCTGCTTCCACCTGCAGGCCCATTCCTGTGCATCTTCTTTTCCTAGTGCAAGCACAGCTGTTTAAGGTTAGAGCCTGGGCCAGCATGGTGCTGTAGCCTCTCCTGTCACTGCTGCAACCTGTTGTAGCAACATTTCCTGCCACCCCCACCTATGTCCCACCGTCCCAGGGTGACACAACGACTTGCCACAGACAAATACAGTGAGCGTTCACCACAGGAAACTGTCCTTCTGGAATGCGATACCCAGATCTGAGCTGCAGTTACATCTAACACTTGTAGGCAGGGTCCCCCTCTCCCACGCCTCCGTTCAGATCTGTTCACAGCGCCCTGATTCTTCATCCTATCACATAAGCCCTTTGCCTGTCAGTATGTCTCGATTTAAAACAGAAGTCCCTAACACTTCTTGGTGAATATCAGATTCAGATTCTACCAGGTTTTCTTAAATTTCAGATTTTGTTTTCTTCTGAGGACCTAGAGTTTCCATAGCCTATTCATTAGGTTGGCTTTGTTTCCTTCTTCAGGTCATATTTGTGTCCTGACTTAAAAAAATGAATACTTTCTGTGAGGCATTAGCTAAGTAGTGGAACATATTCAGAGTTCAATCCCAAGCACTCAAAACACGACAAAAATGGATTCTCCCCTCTCATTAAAGGTCACTGATGCTCTCATGGGGTATCTGGACTCAGTTCGTCAGCATCTGAAGTGTGTAGGTTGAGTCATATTCAGTTGTTGTTTTTGCAGCTCAAATGGCAAATAATGACAAATTCATATGGTCCAACTTATGCCATCTAACCTGCAGTACAGAGCAGCACAGAGGCTGCCGGACTCCGCCATGGTGGATGCCCAGGACTGGAGGCTGGATGGACCTGAAGCACCTTTCTCCAGCAGTTGGCTTTAATGTGTTTATGGTCTTGGGCCTCAGAGCAGAGAGCCACGCTGTGACACTGGAATCAGTGGCTGCGCTGGGTGGACAAGCAGCTGAGTGCATTTCCCCACACAGTCCCTGTGATTTCTTGACCTGCCGAGCCGGTGAACCAGCAGGGAGCCTGAGCTCTCGGCTTCTGCAGATTCTCTCTCACATCCCTCACACCCCCGAAGTTTTACTGACAGTGTTGCTAGCACCCTTCAAAATTGGGCATTTCATAACTAGAGAAGATGCACCCTAGTAAGTTTTAAAGTGAACTCATAAAATGCACTGTGTTTTCTTTTCAACCGTCAGCAACGGTCAGAAAACTTCCTAATAGCTGACAGCACTGGAGAAGAGCCAGGGATCCGCGCAGGGCAGAAACTGGCCAGGTGAAGGGTGGGCAACCGAGGAAACCATTCAGAACGGGGCCTGAAGTTCAGTGGTCAGAGCTGTGACTCTGGGGTTTACCAGGCCATCAGCTGCAGAGCCAGCCGGTGGCCTCTCCGCTCCTCAGGCCCTTGTACCTCTTGCGGAGAAACAGCTTACAAAACCTCTTTCCAATTACAGTGGAACTGTGCCTGCATCTATAAAACCATTTTGAGAATGAACCAACTATTCTTAGTATAGATTGATTTTTCTAACTCATTTGCTACTCAGGATATTTTTAAATCAAAACCATGGAAATATTAAATATTAATAAAACTTTGTAAAAATCCTGCACTCCAATCTTTAAGAAAATATTTTAGTCAAATGCATTTAACCAAAACATTTATCTGTGGATACCTTTCTTTATTTTTATTCAAACTTTCAATTGATTGGTTTTTAGTGATGGATGAAACACTAAATGTTCCCTGACTTAGAGCTTTCCCTTTCTCCATCATAAATTGACATTTTTGTGGACCCTTTGTGCTGCAGCATTCAAAACTGCCTTTTTAAGAAGTAACAGAAAAATGGTATTCGCTGCAGTCAGCAGATGGTTGTCACATTTTGTTTTCAGCACGCTTTACCACTTAATTTTGTTTTGTTGCTGCATGAGAGGCCGCCGGTCAGGCATCTGCTGTAGCTTATGGCCTAGGACTGGAGCCACCACAACGGCACATGTTCAGAAGAGCACTAATCCAAAATAAATGTTTAATAAGCTAGCCAGGAGAGCACCTGGACTTCTATTCTTTAAATTTCACAAAATTGCATGAGCGATCTGGAGGCTGGAAACAATTCTACATAAGGGTGACTTGTGCATTTTTGTAGTTAAGTGTATGAAAAATAATGCGGTTTTTTTTTTTTTTCTTTTGTGAATTCCAGCTCACCAAGGTGCTATCCAGGACCAGCCATCGCAGCTGCCTGTGGAAATCGATCCTCTCATAGGTCTGTCACTCCTTTCTCTCTGCGATTCATTAAGCTCTGTGTGGCCCTGAAGTGTAGATTACAGTTGTTTTTCACTTGCTGGTTGCTGGGAATGGAATTTTCCTGATAAACCATTTGCATGCAAATTGGAACGCAATGAGCTGTGGTTATGCTGGTATTTCATCAACTCCCCTCGCTGGTTTGCCTAATTTGAACAGGCCTAGGCCGCGTGTCACTGGAAATTAATATGGATGCTGTAATAATGTGTGATTGAGGGTGCGCACGAAGCACTGTCAGGGTAATATTGGATCTTTTCATCACTCAGACTTGTTGATGAGCAGGGGCGAGGTGCGCCGTGATGGATCACCGCAGTGTGGTGGAGCTTCTTTGCTGGGAAATTTTCATAATAACAGAGGGATTCTTAGCAGCACCATGTTGTGAAAAATAAAACTGCAATGCCAGGGTCTCATCATTAAAGGAGATCAATCCTTTCTTCCTGGCCCTCTGTTCAGTCAGAGGGGATTAATGTGCAATTGTAGAGCAGTTTCGAAGTTGAAATATATTACCCAGCCAAAGGTAGTGTTAAGATATTTGTATTCATTTTCCTAGAGCCAATAAATTGCCATTGGAGGTTAAATTTGTTGAGGGAGAAGGAAAAAATAGGGCGGAGGCTGGAAAGAGCGGCTGCACACATGACTGAGTGTTTAATTGCTCTTGTGTTTTTGAGGCAGTTAGCTGAAATCTCTAGTTGGCGTTTGTCACTCTTATGCATTGGGATTTCAATGTCACCAAAAAGGTTAACCCTGATAACTTTTAGAATTAAAAAATAAAGAAGTAAATAAAACTAAACTATTTGCCATGGGGATAAGCAGCCAGCATGAATGAATATTTGGCCAACAGATTTGGTAAATTTACCCTAACAGATAAATGTGTTAGACTGTTACCATCTTACACATAAATTTTGCATATGAATGAGCAGATATATTATTTAAAAATCCATCATGTTCCCTATTTTATGTTATTCTATTTTTCATTAAAGCCTCTGCTAGCGTAGAACACTAACTGGTTATCATTCACTAAATGGTTTTCTACTACAGGATGAACAAAACCTTAAATTCAAAACCAATTCATTAATCATTTCCCCAGTAAATACTGTTCTGAATTTCATTTTAGTTCCTTAATTTCATTTTGCTTAAAAAAAAAAAAATGCTATTTTCTTCTTGTTAAAAGTAACAAAGCTAAATCCTTACTGTATAGTTTTAAAATCAGGAAAATAAAGCCCATTTGCTAAGACATGTAAAACAATTTTTCTGAATTATAGGCTCTCTGTTTGCTTTAAAACATAGCAATGAATATTCTGTAATATAATTAAGTGAATCCAGCCAGTGTGGGCAAAGTTTCTTGGTAAAAAGCCAAATGCTAAGTATTTCAGGCTTTGTGGGTCTTAAGAGGCAGACACAGTGGTTTAACTCTTTCATCACAGTGCGAAAGGCGCCATGGACAACGCATGAACAGATGAGTGTGGGCTGCTCTGCAGCAAAGCCTCATGTTTAAAGATGCCGCGGGCCGGCTCCAGCCTGGGGGACAGGGCTTACCCCGGGAGCCTCTGGACCATGGGCCACCTCCAACTAGCTGGCCTCAGTTCAGCATGTGACCCTGGATGGCCTGAACTTCTGACCCTCCTGCTTCTACTTTCTAAATTCTGAGATTTCCTAACTGGGATGGTAACCAGCTGGGATCCATCCAGGGCCCTTCGCACAGACCAGTCAAGAGCTCGAAACACAGCCTGGCCTCCCCCTCACCAGTCTTAACCTTAGCGCAGAAGGTTTTTATCCTAAGTCCAAATAGGTAAGATTTCTAGCAGAGGCCAGGTATGTTGGTGCACGCCTTTAATCCCAGAACTAGGGAGACAGAGGCAGGCTGCTCTCTGTGAGGTCAGTGTGTGCAAAGTGAGTCAAGGGCAGTCAAGGCTAAAACCCTGTCTCAAAAAACAAGAGAGAGAAAAGAAAAAAATAACGAAAAACTTTTCTAGCAGAGTAGGAAACATTTGTAATGTATCCAGTGGAATCCCAATATAAAAACGAACTGATAGTCAACATTTTTTATTTTTAAAAATCCATATGAAAACCCTCAACAGTTGGGAATTTCACCAAAGTTTTTCTTCACCTTGGATTTGTAACCTATTTTCTCCATGTAGTTTTATCCTAACTTTTAAAACTTGATTACTCTATTATACCTTTCAGCCATAAACATGTGTGTGGAAATTTAAATATGTATCTATTAACGTAAATTTTTCTATTCACTCAAGGCTCAGATTTTTGTACTTAATTAAAAGATTGGAAACAAATAAAAACATCATACACCAAAATTAAAACTAAAATCTTAAATTAATTACGCTGAGTACTCTATAATTTTTCTTTGTTGTTGTGTGTGTGTTTGTGTGTGTGTGTGTGTGTGTGTGTGTGTGTGTGTGTGTGTGTGTAAGACCCATTCTGTAGCCCAAATTGGCTCACACTCAAGATCCTCCTACGTGAGCCTCGTGAAGCTGGGGTCCCAGGCGTGCCACCAGCCAGCACTGTGTTACTGACTCGTAATGAATTATATAGGCATCCCACGTCCTACTGCTGAAGTGGCATAAACTTTATGCCAGCCGTGGCATAAACTTTAACAATATTTGTGAAATGCATCGAATATAAAAGCAAGCACTTACTGGAACCAAGTCTTCTGTCAACGAGAGGGTGTCTTCCTTTCTGATAGCTCATATGTTGATAGACAGTGGTTAGTTCTGAGTTGGCTAAGCTTTGTCCAGCAGACCTCGTCCTTGTTATTTTAGTTTTGTAGCCTGAGGAATGTTACATAAGAAAGTGGATAGGGAAGGGAGATGTGTTGTTTTAATGGTACCGTACAGGTCTTTGAATTCTTTCTCATACATAGCGAAATTCATGTTATTAAGAATTATCTTAAGCTCTAATATTAGGTTATCTTTTATTTCAGCAGTCCTGTTGAAACTTATTTTTAATGATTTGCTAATTGATAGTGTGATTACATCCTCATTCAGTTTCTTGAAACCGTCTGACATACAAGATAATGAAACCTGAGCACACACTCAGTGTCAGCACTAATTTTCCTTGTTCCTGTACGTGGCTCCCAGGAGATTCTAATCCCCAGGGATAAAGAACCATATAAGATTATGCCTGGAAGGGCATCTGACATGGTTTCATGTAAAGCAAAAGGAGAAATCACAGGAGAATTGTCAGGCAAATCAGTTTCAGACAAGAGGGTATATGAAAGTTGAGGAACTAGAAATTGATTCCCATAAAACTGTCTGTGCCTGTATCCCGTGGGGGATCTTAGACTCTCAAAGGTAGTCTTGCTTCACTTTGAATGCAGCTTATCTAATCAAATATACCTATTTTTATTTAATAAAAATGTTGTAAGAATCTCAATAAGTTTACTAACAAAAACAGTGTACTAATATAAAGGCTCTTACAAAAAGGATAGGCTAGGCAGACAGGGATAGACAAATGGACTGACAAAGAGATGGACACACAGGCAGATGGCTGGATGGGGAACTTTTCAGGGTTCAACTTCAAGTGAGACTCACTTAGAAGATAGTGCATCTGGTGAGTGCAGTGGCTCACACCTCGAGGTTCACGCCAGAGGCAGCAGGGTCGCAGGCTCAAGGCAGTCCTAGACAGAGTGAGACATTTTCTCAAGAGCCAAAATCCACGACAAACAAAATAGTCTATTTGGAGGCTGAAGGGACAGCAGCCTTTCCTCAAGGGCGCTGTGATCCCTCAAAATTATGCACTTGTCCAGCCTTCCCCCAAATTAGCGAGAACTAACAGTCCAGGCGCAGAAGTCGTATAAATACTGTCAAGAAGAGACATTTTTAAAGGTTCTGCATAGAGTGAGGTGTGGCAGTAATTGGTGTAAAAAATGTACCTCACATTGTTTTCTTGTCATGATCTCACTGCAGTGGGGTATTTTCTCTGTGTGTATTTTCTCTTGCTGTCATATCTATAAAACCTCCTTTCCATCTGCCAGCAACTTCCTTTTGTGTGAGAAAGAAAACTTGTCCCGACTGGAATTCTTCCCATTTTACTCTTGCTGCTGCTTCGTACCCCATTAGCCTCCCAAAGCACTTCGAGTCACCTGCCGGTTTAAATGGGTCAGTGTATAAAGGGCCTTCAGCAGGATTGTTGAGGTCAACAGTCCTGTGGGGCGTGTTCTGTTTGTGTTAGGGCTAGTTCAGGCCTCAGTGGTTCTCAGCACAGCCCTGAGAGTATTTTAAGGGCTTTGCTTTGTTGTTTGTTTGGTTGGTTTGGCAGGCCTTCTATTAAACTCCCATATTACTTAGATAATGACTAGAAAATAGGTGTCTTTGCATTTTTATCAATAATGTATAGTTTCTTCCCTCAAAAAACTGAAAATTGGTATAAAGAACTTAATAACTAGATACAAGGATTTGCCTTGACCATTCCATTCTGTTTTCTGGAGCAATCAAGCTGCTTTTATGGTGTGAAAACCCTTGTTTGTAACAGAGAGTCACTAAAAACAAAGGTTCTGTTTGGTTGGCCTCATAACATTAGGACGATGGAAGGAAGACAGGCAGGAAAACAGGACGGAAGGAGGGAAGGATCTCCGTTGAAGTTGCTCTGCTGACAATGGCAGAGGGTGTTCTTCCCATCCTTGGCGTCACTGTGTGCCTGACCTGAGCCTTGAGACAATCCTATCTCAGGCACTCCAGCATTTGGAGCGCACTGCCAGGCTGTCTCGTCCTATCACTTAGGTCAAGACTAAGAATGTGGCAGCATGCTGTGACTTCTCTACAAGGATCTTTAATAAGTCCTCGTTCCTGCCTTTGCTTACATGAGAGTGCCGCTGTAAACAGGGAAAAGGAGTTCCCTTCTAGTCAAAAATTAGAGACCCATAAAGGCCAGAGTGGTACAAGGTGCTACAGTAGTTCAGATATATGACATTTAAATCCCAATATCTCTTCCCTGTGACAAAACATTAAAGGTAATAGATTTTCACAACATGAGTCTATTCTCATGACAATAGACATAATGAGATTGTCAGAAACAGCCCAAACTGTGATGAGATCTGGCGGCTGGAATGCACTTGTCCTGCCCGAGAGCTGGAAAGCCTGTTTTGTGGCTTGTATGAATTTTTTTTAATGGTGGTTTCTATTTTTTTTTCCCTAAGCACAACATTTTCCCTGGGGTGTTGAATATAGCAGCTCAAACTCTTGCAGTGCTTTACATTTTACTATTTGTCTCAGACACTGTCTGAGAGGTCAAGTGCTCTTCCAGGTCCTGCCTCCCTCCTCCCCTCCCCTCCCCCCAGGTGTGCCAGCGCTCAGGGTTTCTTTGATCATGTGTGGTTAGTAGTTTTTATTTTTCTCTTCTTCTCCCTATGCCTCACAGCCTGCGGTACAGGGACACACAGGAGGCAGGTCACTGACCTTCTGGACCAGAGCGTTCAAGTTCATTCCCAGTGCTTCGTCATCACTGCCGACAACCGCTTTCTTCTGGTCTGTGGCTTCTGGGATAAGAGTTTCCGAGTCTACTCCACAGACACAGGTAACGTTTTTCTTGTAGGACAAAGATTATGACTTAGTAAAAGAATGCTTTCTCACCCCACTCCCAAAAATGAAGGGGATGCTTCCTCCCTGTCAGGAAACCGTGGCTAGCTCATCTTCTCCTGGGTCAGCTTCAATGTGGCTTTAAGAGGCAACCTTTCAATAGTTTTGTCTCCCGACACGCTTACAGAATAAATAATTTTTGTCCACAGACAAAGCCATGGATGTGAGTACCACACACAGATGTGTAGACAAAGGTCAAACATAGCAACGTATTTTAAAGTTATTTTTAATTATTTAGAAGGTTTTCCTTCCAGTACTGGAGGAGGGGCTCCTGAAGTCTGTCCGTCATCCTCACGGAATCTTGCTGAAGTCACCACAGGGAAGAGCAGCTCACTTAGTATGTGGCGGTGCTCTGTGAAAGCACAAAGCGTGCACTGCCCGTGTGTTTGCGTGCGCCACTCCGGGGCCAGGCCAAGTCAGCTCGGTGTTGGTACAGCAAATAGAGCCCAAGGAGTTTTCCCATGCAGAGAGCCAGGCGATTGGTACATTTAATAGCACATTTTTAAAGCATTTTAGAAACTGTCGGAGAAGTTAGGTTTAGAGAAAATACATAGGTTTATACATGCGTGTGTTTATAGACATATGGATAAAGTCAGATATTGCTTCCCTATAACCAGATCTGTGGCCTGGCTTGGCTTGTTTGACTTCTTGGTGGTGCTGAGCACACTGTCCTCCACGTAGACACCCAGTCCCCGGAAGAAGATATCTCAGATGAAAGGAGGACATGCACGTGTCTTGATTAAATGCTGCGGAGTGGGAAGTTCTACCTAATTGAAGTTTCTAATTAAATGCTTTCCAGCAAGTCCTCTTTGAGGCTTGCTAATAACCCTTCTGAAATGTCTGTCCTCGCGCACTCTCGTTAGGAGGTGCCCTGAACAGTGATGGTTCTGCGTGGACGTCAGTGTGTGCCAGGGAGCCTATTGGCACAGCTGAGAGAGCAGCAGGGACAGCGCTCTTCAGCAAAAGAGTTATAGAATAAGCCCTGAAAATTATTTGTAAAACATACTGGGTTTGTTTGTTTGTTTGTTTTTGCACTTTAGCAAATTGAATTTCATTTTCTTATAGTTCATGTCAAGGAGGTTCATGGAGGCAAACACAGCGACAGAGCCTTTCTAATGATGTTTCTCTAGGTAGTCAGGATGTGGCATGGACTTTGAGAATGAACGCTCCACCGACAGTCTGTGAAGCTGCAGTTAGCTGATGTTTCTGAAGCCGTCTTTCTTTATCATATTGACGCTTCTGTTTTTACAATCTCATTGAAATGTAATCTTTTCCTCTGGCAAAAGACCTGTAGCATTATTTGGTACAGCCTCTGCCCTCACAAGCCTCCAGGTTAGGTTGATACACCGGCTCATATATTTCTCTCAATGGTCTTTTAGATTATTTATTGCTCTCACATTTTCAAAGGTACCCTTAAAGTTTTCACACTAAGTTCATCTATCCTTTTGGCTTATAGTTTTTACATATTGACGTCCGCAGAACTAAGTTACCACCTCACAGGTTTTTTTGGGTGCAAAACAGCTCCATGATCCCTAATTCCCTAGTCACGCATGTCACCTGCCGGAGTCACCTTCCCACACCCTCACATCCTGGCAGCCACAGCCTACTTCACATCCCAGGGTTGGCCCTTGCCAGTGTATGTGCAGATGGAGTCATAGATTATGCCAGTCTTCCTCTTGGACGTGTGGAAGCTTTTGAATTCTTTGACATTCCCTGTTGTTCTTCTTGTAAAGGTGTTAAATACCAGATGTATATATCCGTAAGTCAAGCCTGACTTTCATACAGCACTGACAGTTCCCATAATTCCTGTGTCCATTCTTTGTTTAGAACTTACAGAATTGTTTGGCGTACATATCATGGCTTCAGCTCCACAAAAATCTTATGGGGTGGACAGGTGTCCTTGTCCCATAGTTCAGATAATGAACTGAGAGATTAATTTAGATAGTGAAGTGAGGTACTGAAATGTAACTAGCTAATGGTAATAGAACTGTGGCTTGGACCTGGCCCTTCTGACTTCATATGTAGCATCCTCTTTGTTACATGTTGACTCACACAAATGTCACCATCGTTGGTTAATTTGGAAACCACTGTAATTTACAGCCCTAAGTTCCTGTGGGCCTGCCATGTCCCATTAGACTTAACAAGGTTGATATTTTCCCTCTCCCTCCCAACAGAAACCTTGCAATACCCTGTTTTAAAAATGCATGTTTCTGTGTGTGTAAAAATATTTCAAAACAGCATAATTTTAAACTCCATATTGATAGGACTGTTTTATAAAATAAAAATTTATATTTTCTATAAAAGTGCAGAAAAATGAATCTCAAATGAAATTTCTTGTACGTTCTTAATGTCTTGTATATATACTCAGCTGCTAGTTTTACTAAAAAGTAATTTTAATGAAGAAAAAAGGAATTTGTGTTTTTATGACAATAGATAACATCGACTATTTTTCCCTTAAGCTTGGTGGAGAAGCAAGGGAAAATTGTATAACCAGTTAATATATAATGTGAGAGCCATCACAAGTGTTGAATTCAATTATATTTTAGCACACGAGCCAAAAAAACCCTTCCCTTATTAGATTGGGGAAGGGGATACTGGGGTTGTAACAGGAAATTCTTGAAACATAAATCATGTTTTCAGGGCACAAGCAGAGCTGCAGAGGCAGCACTAAACCTTCCCTGCCGTCGGGATTACTCTCAGGCCACATTTAGATGCAGTCCTGCAGAGGCCTGCGCTGGGATTGTTTTATTTGTAGCACAGCTGTCAAATAAAACATAAACTAGAAAATTTGTTCTGTCAAAAAAGGGATATTCCAGTGTTTGTGGTAATATCTGATATTAGTGCGTGGAGAGGCGGGCTGCATTAAAGGAGAGAAAAAACAAAGACTGAGGAACACGCACGAGATTATCAGAAAATAATTTACCGAAAAGAGCAGCAGGTATTTACACTGTGATTTATTTAGGAGGGACGGGCCTCCATATCCCAGCAGCAGCCGCGACCGCGGGGCGGCTGCAGAGCGGGAGAAACCTGCGGAAAAGTGTGTGGATGCAGAGAGCAGGTCCAAGCCAGAGCCACACAGGAAGCTCTTTCGCTGTAGCCTTGCTGTCTCCCCCCCTCGTGGCTCTTCCCTCCCGTCGCTGTTTTTAGATGTTTCTTTTTGTAGAATACTTGGTGCTCTTCATCCTTGTGGGTCTGTCCCCTTTACTTCAGTGTTTGTCTTCCCATGGGACAGTCAAGACACGTGCACGGCCCTCACCACTGTGTGCGTGCGCACGAGGCACACATTCCTGTACACATTCAAGACAGCCTAAGCTTGACCCCTAGTTGGTGTGAGGTAAATGTTGAACTTTCATACTTTTGATTACTTCAGAGCAAAAAGTAAAACAGTAGGAAGTTTTAGAAGAAGAAAACACAACTGAGCATTTCTCTTCCTCACACTGATATTGGAAACAGAGCACTTGCTTAAGGAGAAATGAGGAGGAATCTTGGGAAACTCCATGTCTGTTTAATGGAGACACCTCCATCCTCTTCCTGGTCCCTGAAGCAGCTGGAAATTAGGTGAGCGCCCCACAACCACTGCTTTTGGTGAGGCCCGCAGAGCACCAGGACCCTGGGCTCTCGGGGCACTGTGTAGCTACCTCATTTACCTACTGGGCAGTTTTTCAACCCCATGAAGCGGCTGGACTCTAAAATAGACGTAAGCCTACCCCGGGTGGCACGGTCATACCACTTTCGCAGTTCCCGAGCTCCCTCCACGCAGGCAGAGGCTAAAGAGGAAGACACTGTGCAGGCTGTGGTAACCCTGGCATAACTGCCCGGCTTCTGCCAGCAGCTGAGGTGAACTCTAATTACCAATGAGAGCGCAGCCCACTGCCCGACTTCTGCGTTCTGCCCTGAAAAATGTGGCATGACCATTTGCCACTAAACACCTTCACTTGAAAATGATCTTAAAAACAGCTCTGCATTTTATATTTAATTTGGTCTTTTGAGTTCTTTATTTTAAAATATTCTTCCTAGCACATGCCATGCTGATGAAATCAGGTGTCGTAAGTGAAATGTTCTAGTGTAGATTTACAAGGCTAAAAGTGTTTGATCTGCCTTAATTGCAGCAGGAAATTTTACTTTTTAATTGTAATTTGTACTTGAAGTAAGTCTGGCTTTAAGGTTGACAGCAGTGGCTTCTTCAAGCCTGTTGCTCATGAGTGAAAACATGCACTTGACTTCTCTCTGATGGAGACAAAGTGTTTCACTATTTTATTCCTAAATTTGAACCATTTATAGTAAGTCTTAAATTTGCTGTAATAAACAACTTAAAGTTTTAAGTTAATACCTTATTTTTATTTATTTTCTTGAAAAGTGGCTGGGTGGTGGAAACACCTTTAATCCCAGAGCCCAGGAGGCAGACACAGGTAGATCTCTGAGTCCAGAACTGCCCGGCCACAGAGAAACCCTTCTCAAAAAACGAGAAAAGGAAGGAAGGAAGAAACAAAGAAACCGGACGTGGTGGCTCATGCCTATAATCCTGGCACTCAGGGTGGCAAAGGCAAGAGGATCTCTGTGAGTTCAAGGCCAGCCTGAACTCACAAAGCAAGTTCCAACAAAGCCAAAAAAAAAAAAAAAAAGGACAAGAGAAAGAAGGAGGGAGAGAGGGGAGAAAAGAAAGAAAGAAAAGTTACTTAGACACCAACCTTGGTTTTAAATATTGTTTTGTATGTTTTTTTCAGTTTCTTTAATGTTTGAGTCATCTTTTTGTCCTACTGACCTCACCTCCTTCTAAAGCCAAGTTTAATATTGAAGATAGACATCTCAACACTAGGTGGATTGTAGACTTTTCTACACTTACTCGTAGACTGTAGACATTTTTTTACAGCTTGAGCTTTTATTTTTTATTTTATTATTTTTTACAATTAATTCACTTTGTATCCTGATTGTACCCCCTTCCTCATCTCTTCCTGGTCCCACCCTCCCTTTCTCCTCCCCCTATCCTGCCCCCGCTAGTGCACAGAGGATTCAGGCAGTCCTGATGAGACTTGATAGGCTAGGGTCAGATGGGAGGGGAGGAGGACAGACTTTTCAAGAGAAAAATGTTTGCTCTAAACCAGGGTGACACAGGGGGTGCCGGAGGGACCTAACTGTTTAGACAAGTCTATAAATGAGACCACAGTCGGCCAAGCAAAAACTTTCCAGTGAGGACTTGATTTTGTTTCTGACACTCTTCCTAAGTTTTCCCTGACCGTGTGTGTGGAGACTAGGGTCCTCTCCAGGGTCCTCAGTCCTTCCCAGTAAACCGCTGTGAGCTTCTTTTCATCATCCTCCCAGAGGAGTTCATCATTCAGAGAATTAGCGCAAAGAAGGACTGACAGGGTTGGAATTGCAATCACGATCAACCGTTCCTTTCATCAAAAGTTAGTCAGTTAGTCGGGGAAGTCCTGGTTTGAAGAAGTAGGAACTCTCTCGAGGCGACCCAAGAACAGCAGAGCATGGTTCGGGGAAGACTGCCGGTGGACCGAGCTGTGCAGACTTTCTCGAAGGCAGCAGGCTTTGGTTTTGAGCCACAGAGTAACTCAAGAAAGTGTTAAATGGTTCCAGTGGAAGTGTTCTCCTGGGCCCGCTTTAACCAGTAAATATTATTCTTTTGTAATTTATAGTAGCTGTTTATAAGGGTATGATGTCCTCATCCTCAAGTATTATTTGTGGAAATAGTTTCCACATATGCCTTTTAAAAGTGTTATCACTACTCAGTTGATTGTTTTTTTAAACTATTATAGGTAGTATTTAAAAATAAACAATCAAAACCCTGCCAATCAGAACCTTCCAGGTCTGAGTTATTACGGCATCGCTGCCATGCAGCTTCTGTATTTGATAGAAGTTTGCATTGTCTTTTAACTGCGCTTAAGGAAAGTTTGTTCTGTATTTCAGGAAAATTGATCCAAGTGGTGTTCGGCCATTGGGATGTTGTCACGTGCCTCACCCGCTCGGAGTCCTACATAGGGGGGAATTGCTACATTCTCTCTGGGTCACGTGACGCAACCCTTCTTCTGTGGTACTGGAACGGAAAAAGCAATGGGATTGGAGATCACCCAGGAAGTGAGTACAGACTCTCTTAAGTGAACTTTTCTAAGTGATGGAGAAGAGCAGCACTTTGAGAGGAAATGTTCTTCCACTGCGGTGGGAACAGAGCTGAACTATCATTTCTAAGCTGTAGTCTACGCTAGCCTAGGTGGCATGAGGGCTAACACCTTACAGGCACTGTAACTCAGTCCTTCTCAGGTTCTCGTCATTCCTAGGCAGAAGTGTTGGTACGTGGCTACAATGGCTGCTGCCGACTAAAAGAGAGGTGTTCTCGGGGACAATGACATATAACATAAAAGAGAAATTATATATCTTGTTTGTTGAATTCATGTTTCAAAAGAGAAAAAATAAAAGTTACAATTTGGGAAATCTAGAGCTTTATACAAATTATGCTTTCATTTACATACTAAAGACAAAACTGGCCATAAAAGGCTAATATGGGTATTCAAATTGGCTGTTGGCTTCTCAGATGGGAAATGAAAATGTTCACCAACAGCATTAAACGTCTTTCAGAAACTGCACTGAAGGCAGTAAAACAACAACAAAAAATGTGTAACCATTTAAAATTGTAATTCACAGAAGGCAAAAAAGGAAACAGCCACCATTAAATCCAGTCGCACACAGCTGTAGCCAAGAGCTGGCTTTAAAAACACATTAAGAAGGAGGAAAAACAATTAAAGGGACCACCTGAAAAATGAGAATTTAATTAAAATGATTATGACAACAGAGAAGAGTTTGTAGATAGCTGTGGCTTTCTGTTTCATAAGGTCGACGTTGTGACTGTTCTTAAATAGTTACCATTTCTTAATGGAAAGCTGGTTGCAGTGTTACTTGGTTAGAGAAGGCTCATGCTATTGTCTGAATACTGTGAGGCCTTGTGTCTGGGTGGAAGTATATTTCACCCTGTCATATTCTCGATCAACTTCTCCATGTTGTGTAAAAATGGCTAATACTTGTGTGACAGTGAATACTTTGTTCAGAATGCTAATATTTATTTAGAAAAATGCAAAGTTTTTTCGAAACTTATTTTTTCTTCTTTGTACTTGAGAGACTTTGCATTGGGTCATAAACAAACATTGTATGCAGTTGATGTCTAATGGGCGTATTTATGACCTTAATCAAAGATAATCTTCTATGTGAATAGAATAAAAAAGTAATGTTTAAGTTCTGATACTGTTGGTGACCCAGTCTCGTGGTCAGCAGGCTGTAGTGTGTGTACCATGGGAAAGCATGCTTTGTCCCCTAAACAGACATCTCTGCTTTATAGATAATTACAATCAACTTAAAAAGATTTAAAAAATCAGGGAATTTGCTTTTTATTCTCTCTAAGTATGTACTGTATGACCCTTGGCTTATGGTGGTGTTCTGATGCTCTTTCTTTCTGGCCCCCTACATTGAGTGGCTACTTTCAGTTTCTTTTTTCCTGTTTCCTTAAATATAAGATTAAAGAAATTATTTCAGACATAGATAATACATAAATCTACCACTTTGTTATTTGTCTCAAAGAATTTAGGAAAGTCTTTTTCTTGCCTTAAAATGTTTTATGTACGTATACCCACAAAGACAGATATCTGAGTCTTTGTTTTTCACCCGACCTGACTGCCTTCTCTGTGTTACGGAGAGTTTTCAGCAGTGTATGCCCTGGGAAATCGCTAAAGCCTTTCTGGCTATTCCTGCATGGAGTTGCTATGGCATTTCACAGATTTAATTATGTTTTAAAATTAGAAAACTTCAGGTTCTCAGAGTATTTTATATCTATTTACACATTAAATATATGTGCTTGTATTTAAATATTTATTTAAGTACCTTACAAATTGCCCTAGAGATGGTTTTTATATGTATGTCATCTGAATAGAGAATCAAGAAAGAGTGCTGAAGTACTGGGATTCATTGTTAAAAAAGGAATCGATTGATTCCCGGCCCTGCTGTGGGAGCAATGGCCATACACAAGGCGCTCAGAGGGCATAAATCACGTGACCAGCGTCTCGGCTACATATGAAAATGTTGCAGCTCACGCGCGCTGTCCACTCTTGCCTCATTGTCTGTAATATGTGGACAGTAGCACCTAGACATGCAGGTGTTGAAGAGGGGAAATGTCAGAACACAGCACATCTAACACAAATTTCAGAAAACCGTGATATGTTTCGGCTAAATTCTCCATCCTCATCCTTGCTGGCCCTTTTATAATGTCCCAATTCAATTTTGCCTTAGCTTTGAAGAATGAAATCTGGGAGAAAGACAAACAGGTACTTTGCTTACTATAAGAATTTACACACATTAAACAGAAAGATGAAAAGGCTAGTGTAAGCCTTTAAAAACAAATTGCAGACAATCCAGACAGTTTCACCCTCCCGAAAGCTGGTCAGGCCGGGAGCAGCTGCTGAAGCCGCACCCCTCAGAAAAGCTTCAGGCTCCCGCAGCCCTCCCTGAGTGTCGGGAGCCCGGAGAACCCTGTGAGGGCGGCCAGGCACTCCCAGCATGCAGATACACAGCACTCAGCTTCAGTTCTTGCGGTACCTGAAAGAAAGAAAAGCATCCTGTCGCTTTTTTCTGCATTGTGTAGTTCTTCCAACTATTTAACTTTATTTACAATCCCAAGAATAGTTAATGATTTTAGTTGCAAGGATTATAAGCAAGAGCTAAATACCATTTCCTTCAAATCTGGTAATCATTGCTATACATAAAGTGGTAGCTGTGTAACTATTTTAACCTAATGTTATACAGTGTTAATATGTGTATTAGTTGGATAAAAATCAGGCTACCTCGACTTGGATGAAACCTGTAAATAGTATAATTTGGGGCTCTAAAACAACTCAGATGTTTTATGAAGCCTGTCTAGATTATTCAGCGGAGGCTTGCTTTCCTAGACAGGCCGTTTTTCACCTTTGGCTCTATTGTCTCGCGATGGTTCTCTGCTGTGGAATGCAGCTCTCCAGTGGGGTGGCGGAGTTGTGGCGCTCTTGGTTGTGGCTGGCTTTTGTGACATCAGCCAGGACGGTTTCAGCGAGAGGCGTTTGCTGCCTCACCCCGATCCCCGCAGTGACAGGCTTCCCTTCCGAACAATGGTGACCCGGCTCCTCCAGGTTCTGGACAGTGTGCTCCTTGAGTGCACTACATTGGTGTTTAAACACTTCCAACTCTGGCATGTGCTTGTGCAAACAAGATGAAAACATACAACAGTTACTGTTTATTCGCTGTTTTATATTACATCAATAAATCACAAAGTTGAATTTTAAAAACTAACCACATACGTGACACTTTTAGATTTCAAAGTAATTTTTTTTACAGCCACAGTCTGTTAGCTTTTGGAGCAAATGGTTGCCGACTATGGGGTGTTGCTTAGATTTGTGTGTGTGCTATTCAGTAAAGTGCTTTAGCATTCTTGCATTCTGGTTTTGATTTGATGGAAAGGTGGCATTTTTTTTCTCTTTGCAATCAGACATGCTAATCTATGTCAGCTTTCTCCTTATGGGAATGGCGTCTATGGGGGGGGGGGGGGGTAACAAGATTCTGTTCTTTAGAAATATTTCAGCACCGCTAATTAGAAAGAAGATTTTATTAACCGTAAGGCTAGCACTAACAGACTGCAGAGCTGTTTTTAAAGTACTGTATGCTGAAGCTGCCCTGCTTTTTCTCCATCTAAAACTTCATTTTGTTGTACTCCCATCAATCACTGAAGTCATTACCGTAAATCCTACTGTTGTTAATTTTGCTGGTATCACCCTAATGAGACGTTCCTGCTATAATTAAAAATGAATTCTAACGTTAAGGCAGTCTAAATTTTTTTTAATGAATTTAGAATGGTCTTGCCCTATGACTATAAATACGGCCGACACACACGTAGACTACTCGTCGAGTCTGTATGACACATGGCGGCGTGACATGTCCAGGTGTGAGTTATTTACCAGTTGCCACCTTGCACGTGAGCTTATGCATATGTATATTTTATGCATATATTTAGGAATTATGTCCTTTGTATTGTAAAGCCTAATATGTTTTACTAAAGCTACTGATAAATCCTTATTCTTTGTCTTGGCAAATATAGGAGCCTGTAGTCTGGGTCCTCTCTGTAAGTAGGTGGCCTAGAGTGCCATCTGCTGGACACACGGGGGGGAAAGTCAGGACGTGGAAACACTGGGGATTTTTGTCTCTAATTGCCTGTGGTCTATTATTCCCGGGTCTCAAATGTCAAGAAATGTATGATGTGTTGAACCGTGTATGTTTTTAGAAGGAAGTCATTTTGTTCTTCTGCTCCCACACTAAGCTGGAATTTGACTTTGCAATAAACGTTGCAGGAGAGCACAGTGTTTGCCTAATACGACAGAGCAGCACAGTTTGTCCTGAGGTGCCTCGGCTTGGTTGGCAGAGACTGTTAAGATGACGCCTAAGCTTGGGTTCGCTGTGCTCCCTCAGCTTTGTTTTGGAAAGCAGTGTGTGGCCTTTCGTGTGAGGGGCAGGGCGGGATGTGGCTCTTTGCAGCGGACAGCACTTCTTACATACGCTTCATTCAGGCCGAGTCCAGGGCCTTCCTGGCCTGCTGCACCAGCTCCGAGTTTTCTTTATTTTCTTGTAAAATTCGAAGTGCAGGTTTGAAGCAGTATGCTGGCACTGTTGAAGTTCAGGTGACATTAAAAATACGTCTGTGACATTTTCCAGAAGGTCCAGGATGTTTAGTGCTCTGTGATGTAATGCAGGCCTCAAATCCCAGCAAAACAACTCTGTATTTACTTCTTGTAGCTAATAGTAAATGTGGTAAAAGGAATTATATTCGTATGGCAAACGAATGCGACCTTAATGTGCACCATATGCAGAGCGGTGACGTGCCGATATATCACGTTTATTTACCTTGTTTGGTTGCAGAGAAAGATCACTCTGCCGTTCATCCCATGGGCTGTGGCCACCTAAGTATGAGGGTAGAGAGACTGGTTTATATCCTCAAACCGAAACAGAGCATCTTCAGATGCAGACGGTAGGGCAAGCCCAAAGAAAGTTGCACTCACTTCATTTGAATTTTA